ACACACACACACACACACACACACGCACACACACGAGGTTCGATAGAACCTAGCAACAGGGCATTTAATTTCAGTTATGTATCCATGCAACTGATAACTTTGGCTCAACAGATCTTTTGTTTATTGTACTATATGTGTATGTGTTCGAAGAAGTCCGGTGCGCCTTCGAATGCATCCATTGGCATTGACTTCTACTTCAAGGTTTTAGTAATGATAGTTCGTGATACGTTTGCTTTCGAATAGATTATCGAGTGGTATTCATATCAAACAAATTATCAGTAGATGATTCTTTAACATACGGTGATAGCTGGTCAAGTTAGTCGTAGAATGATTTTATGGGATTTCCGTACGTCATTTCTGTTATATATTGTTACGTTAGGGTGGACCACAGTCGGTCGACCCCCCCTCCTCCATCTCTTCACACACACACACACACACACACACACACACGCACACACACACACACACACACACACACACACATACACACACACACACACACACTTAAAACACATGCACACATAAACACACACACACAAAAAATAGATAAACACACATACACACACACAAGCACACAGACAGACACAGACACGAAATAGTCTCATTTGTATACTGATGTTGATTTCGATAAGGTTACGTACATAAGACCATTAACATACATAAAACGAGGCTCTTGAAAAGGACCGAATTGGAATACAAATGCATAGAAGTGCAATTTAATATTCAGCATGATAAAAAAAAAACATGCACACAATTACACACATAAAACACACACACACACACACAAAAAAAAACACACACACACTCAAAACACACACAAAAACATGCATACATAAAGACACACGCACACACAGTTGGATAACAATGCATAGAAGTGCACTGTAATATTCAGTATAATAAACGTGAAATAATAATAATAATAATAATAACAATAAAAATAACAAAACAAAACGCAAGACAATTCTTCCGATATCAAAAAATGAACGTAACTGATATTTCATTGAGACGCATTTTTATAACGTCAATAGTACAAACAATATCGTGATAGTTATTGCCATGATAACGGAGATGTGATGATGATGATGATGATGATGGATAATTAAACAAATGAAGAATAACAAAAAAATCGTTATGAAACTCCTGTTGTTGTATCGTCCATCTGGATTACCTCGATGGATAAAAAATCGAATTTTACGGCTTGTGAACAATAACATCATGCAGGAGAGATTTTCAGTAAATGCACATACATCACTACAAACATATATTTCGAACATATGCGTAAATTACCTTGAGATTAAGTCGATAATCGGCGATAAATAACACTCACGTTGAACACGATATTGACGAGACTTTCTCAACTTTTCCCGCCAAAATTTGTCAGCTGATTTTAGCGATCCACAAAGTCACAAATTTCAAACTTTCATAATTGTTGTTCTCCAAATATTATTAATATTTCAAGTTAACGATTTTATTACGTGCTATTTATTTACCTTTTGCGGTATTATTATATGTAATTAGATGCATAGAAGCAAATCTAGTTCGTCAGAGAGGATGAAACGCAATGAAAGGCAAACCGTAACTGAATTCGCTCTTAGAAAAAAATAAGAAAAATAAAAACGATAAATAAACAAACAAATACTTGTGATAAATATACAAACAAATAAAGATGATAAATAAACTAACAAATACAAATGATAGATATTCAAACAAATAAAGATGATAAATAAACAAACAAATAAAATAACATAAAAATAAAAATAAAAGAACAAGAATAAAACATTCAGATTATCCTTATTTTGCATTTATTGTATTATACTATCTTCTCTCTTTTTGATATTCTGTATCCGATGAAAATTTACTGATACTGACCTTATATCACTGAAGGATAAAACGCAGATATTATTGAATTCGTAAAAAAAATGTACGAATTACTGATAACACACATATCTGTCTCTCTCGCTCTCATTAGTTCGCAGCTGATAGGGTTGTCTCTCCCTAAATTTTATTTTTTTATTAAAAACTGTCAGAGAAAGGAAAGTAAAATCTGTCTTTTGATTAAGAAATCATGCCATTTTTTCTGATTTTTTTTTCTTTATTCCCCTTTTCTTTTCTTTGTAAGAGGAGTATCCATAGACAAATGATAAAAAGATTGAAGGTTGAACGAGTGATAAATCATCAATGTCAAGTTTTTTTGTTTTGTTTTTTCTTTTGAGGTTAATGGATATTGCATCATAATTCCCATCTTATGTGACTTAAAAAACGTTTTTGGCTGTAAACAAAACTAGAAATTTAGGAAGGGCCTACGAGAAATTATTTCCACCTCGTATTTTAAATTGACCGCGCGAAATTTCGAAACTATTCTAATGACAACGAACTTAACATTTGTTTTGTTTTGTCTAAGTTATATAATTTGTTTTTGTTTTTCTATTACCCAAGTTTATATAATTTGTTTAATGTGATATTGCTTTTTTTCTTTTTTACAAAATAACGTATATATTTTTTTAAAATTTAAGTTATGTTTGAAATGCGATTCTGTTACTATAGGCTACGTTTCGGTTAAGATTTCGTTTAGTGTAATTTTGTGGTTTGAAGTTTGAGTAAATTTTGGATTAGATTACACGATCAGACATTTTATTGGTAGTTCCTTATTAAAAATAAGAAAGAAAATATCCATTTACGTATGAAGTGGCAAAAATATGACATAATTTCGCACTACAATCCTATGTTTCATATGTGTTAGCTTATACGAATTACCATTTCGTTGTCTTTAGAATTATTTTCGATTCATGTATCACCAATCTTATCTTCCTCACTGCAACGATTTTACTTTTTTCCTGCATATAATGGTGAAGATGTTAGATGTTATTATTGTTATTATCATGATGATGATAAATTTGTTGTTATTATTATTATTATTATTATTATTCATTCTTATTCTTATTCTTATTCTTATTGCGTATGAAAGAAACATGCATGAATGTAAGATAGGCCTATATGTCAGTTTTATTCACAGCTGATTAACACGATAACCATCTTAACTTTCCTATGTAACGATTTTGAATTCCCCAATCGATAGTAATTCCTAATTAAAGAAATATGACCTTAAAACGCCAATGAATAATTAAGACACAAGCAAACAAACAAACAAATGATTAAACAAATAAATAAATAACCAGATAATTGAAGAAATGAATAAAGCAAATAAGAATGATAAAAAAATAAATGATTAAACAAATAAATAAATAACCAGATAAATGAATAAATGAATAAACCAAATAAACCAAATAAACCAAAATGAAAAGATGCACTCCCCACGTTCGGCTTTCCCGCCAAAACGGCAAATCTGCCTTTGTTTACCTTCTCTCTCGTGCCTCGGCCGGTTAATACCCTCCGTCGGGCGCGGGTCCTTGATTCTAAATCCGGCAGGGAGGTCGGCAGTCACGAATTCCTCGCATTTACACTAAGCAGGGGAGAGGGAGAGGGCGGAAGAGGGATTGGGGGGGGNGTCAATATATCTAAGACTATGTCAATATATCTTGCTCGTCGGAGTCTGCGAGGAAGGATAGTCGTAGCACAAAAAGAGGAAGAGGGACAAAAGAAAGAAAAAAAGAAAGAAGACATAGAGAAAAAGAAAAAGGAGACGAAAGACCAAGAGTAAAGACTAAAACGGTTTCATTACACGAGTCTAGAGAGATGGTAAATGTTTTTTTTTTTTTTTTTTTAATGCTAAAGGATTTTTTCATTCTCTCTTTTCTTCATTCATTTGGTCTTCGATCCCTTTCAAGATGCTTTCTTATCTCTCCTCTTTTCCCTTGCCCTTATTTTTAAAATCTTTTCTTTATTTATTTGGTCTTCGATCCTTTGAAGATGCTTTTTTCTGTCCTTTTTTTCCCTTGTCCTTATTTTTTTTAACCTTTTTCTTAATTATGTGGTCTTTATCCTTTTCAAAATGCTCCCCTCTTCCCTTTCCATTCTCCCTTCCTTATTTATTTTTCTTTAAACGCCCTTTCTTCATTTATTTGGTCTTCGATCCTTTTCAAGATCCTATATCATTTATCCCTCTTCCCTCTCCATTCTCCCCATGTCCTTATCTTTCTAAATCCTTTTTCTTCATTGATATAGTCTTCGATCCCTTTTAAGATGCTATCGAAACCTATAACTATTTTTTTTTTAATGGTGAAAAGCGGTCTTTATTCATTTTTTTTCTTTTTTTCTTTGGTTTTCGATCCTTTCCAAGATGCGATCAAGACCTAAATGTGCTTAAATGTGCTTGTTTAAGACTGTCTTTCACTTCGCGTAATGATCCAAGGAAAGAAAAGAGGGAAAAAAAAAAGATAAATAAGGTAAAAAAAAGAGAAAAAGAAAGAAAAAAAAAGACATTAATAACAGCCACAGGCCTTTTATTTGGTGTTTACGATGTTTTAAAGCGAATTATCAAGAGACTGAAAACTGATACAGAAAGAAGGGAGTTGGAATCGGTTCTCTAAAGCTCTCAAAACACTTTTTTTTATAGATCGCGTTCACCGGGATCGATTTTTTAACACTTATTTTTCACCAGTAGTGCGATGATTGGGAAGGAGGGAGGAGGGAGGGAGGGTGAGGGAGAGGGAGGGAGGGGAGGGAGGGGTGAGGGGGGTGGAGGGGAGGGAGGGAGGGGGTGAGGAGAGGGAGGGAGGTGAGGTGGGGAGGGG